TCCATTCATTCATTGTTGCACTTTAGTATCAATCTGAATCCATGATCATAGTTTGAGCTTAGTTTGGGCCACTTTTATAACTCAGAGTTAGGCTGTAGTCGAAGGGATAGCTTGGTTATTCTGGTTCACTCTTACTCCTAGGGTGCATCTATTTTAGATTTTTTAAGGCCAAAAAAAGGGAGTGCTTCCACAGTTTCCTCATTCTTGGCAGGCCCAGGACTCCAATTTTTATCACCTTAGCCCATTTTCTGCGAGTGGAGCAAGAACTTCACAAATCATTTCCCTCTTATCATGTTCTATTTGGTTCTTGAAGAGTATTACCAGCTCTTCAGCTGTGTTGGTGCTGGCAAACTGTTCTTTACTTGACTCGAGTTCCGCCAAATTGCCAAATGCAACCAGACTCATTTCGGTTAGAGCTGCATTTTGGCAATTAATGCCCTGCAGTTTTAATAAAGTAGGAATAACGTCCATGTTGATAAGCTGAGCTTGAAGTGAATCATTCTCATTGCTATAGTTTATCAGCATGCCACAAAAGACAGTTAAGAAATTCTCATTGCCGGGGTCTGTTATACTGCACAGTGACCTTAACTGGTCAGCTACAATCTTCACACCACCTGCTTGGGCAAGTTCACTTCTACCCTCATGGCTGTCTTAGCATATGTTTCCCAAAGCTCTACCTGTTTGAAGTAGCACTTCCTGGCCCTTGCTACTTAATAGCTGCACCAGGGATGATATCAATCTGCCATCCACACATGGAATTCGCATGAATTCATTTTTGTCTACTTCTGCTATGATGTTAGCTACTTTGGCTGTGCAGGAAGACTGTGGAGTCAACAGATTTGCAAAAAGCTGAAGTATTCTACTTCCTTGGATTTTCTCACTTGTTTCTATATTATTCTGAGCCAAGGTTTGAAGCAGGCAATCCAAGCATCCTTCTAAACTGTCCTCAGTCTTGTCTACAAATGTTAACATTAGCTTCTTCAAGGTGTCACTGAGATTAGCCATGTTCTTCTCAGAGAGGGAGGAGCCAACAGGGCAAGGCGAGGGTCTCTCTGGTGCAGGCTGCACGGCACTGTGTCCTCCCTCTACCTCTTTCTCTCCCGCAGCCAGGGAGGGACCCCTAGGGTGGCCCAGGATTTCTTTTTTCTAATGCCAGGAGAGTCAGCTGTGAGGGACCTCTCAAGAGTACTGAAGAGCAAC